TGTGGGGTGCTAACACCTTCCCCACGCGTAACCGACTCCCTTACCCAACTCTGGTTGTAATGGCCAAAGTTGATTTATAAAATCAATTGCCTTATCTCTTTTTCCAATGTTTTGAGTAAAACATTGGTGGCGACTCCACGAACCCTCCTTTTACGAAAACCACTAATCCATGGAGGGTCCCGCTTGGGATTAATATGGATTGGTGAGCCTTTTAATAAAATTGCTCGTTTGACGAGGTCTCAGTTTGAGAATAAGTCATTCTAGCAATCCACATTTTTTAAACAAATAAACGAGTCCAACCATCTTTCGCGAATGCCGAAAGCCCGTTTCGGGCCGGTGGCGACAGTACTTCACCACCTCTTATAGTCAACAAATTCATAAAAACTTTGACATTATCAACATATAAATTCACAATGCAACCGACTTTATTAATACAAGCAACTTATTATATAGAAACCCAAACTCAACACAGGTGATAGACCAATTTTTGTATATCTTTTATGTGCATTATTGTTGGTTTATTTGACTTTTATTAGTATCATATTATGATATATTAACTTTGATTTGTTCTAGTGAGTCATTTTGGTCTTAGTTGTAAATTTTAGTTAATTTCCATATTTTTTTCATATTTTGACATTGTTTCTTGTGTAGCCCATATCTAAAGCTCCCAACATCAAATTTGGATGTTCTTGGTATTCCTAGAAAGATAAGAGGGATTTCTACAACTTCTTTGTCGAGAGCAAAGGCCAAAACATACGTTAAGTGATCCAAAATAAGTTGCGGCCCTGCACATTATTTTTTTTATTTTTAGATTGTAATGTTAGGATTTGTTTAGTGATTTAATTAATTGATTTAGTGGGTTGGGTCTGTAATTATTCATATTAGGCTCATTAGTGTAACACATGTACACTTGATATCATATACCTAATTTTTTAGATTTTAGAGTTGCTTCCTCTACAAGTTTCTCTAAATTCTCTCTCTCTCTCTCTCTCTCTCTCTCTCTCTCTCTCTCTCTCTCTCTCGGATTTTCTCTCTTACAAGCTTACTTCTAGATTAATTGCTCCATACCAAATACTTAAAAAGATTGGTGAAGTAGTTTACCAAATAGTCTTACCCCATCTCTTTCTAATTAACATAATGTCTTTTATGTTTCTCAACTTTGCAAATATGTTCATGACCCTTCTCACATCTTTGAATCCAACAAAATTTAGTTGAAAGATAATCTTACCTATAAAATTGTTCCTTTCAGAATTGATGATAACAAGAGTTATTGATAATAACTTTTAGTTTAATTATTATAGATAATTATTTAAATTTCAAGAAAGAAATAATTAACGGTGGATTAATGGACTTTTAGTGATGGGATATGTGCGGACTAGGATTTAGTTTTACACACACATATAAGTAAAGTTAAGATTGACTCACATTTAATGTACACTTTTGTGATCTAAAGAAGAAGAAGAATCAAACATAGTAAGAGACGATCTTGAAAAATATATTTTTTTTAATTTTAAAATTTAAAGTTTATGATTATTATCAGCAATTTTTTAAAATTAATTTACTACATAAAAACTGATTTTCTTGTATCTAAATACACACATGCACACACACATAAATAAAGTTAAGATTGCCTCACATTTAAAGTACACTTTTGTGATCTAAAAAAGAAGAAGAATCAAACATAGCAAGAGAGGATCTTGGAACTTTTTTTTTTAATTTTAAAATTTAAAATTTATGATTATTTTCAGCAATTTTTTAAAACTAATTTACTACATAAAAACTGATTTTCCTGTTGTATCTAAATAAAATTAAACATCTTAAAATTATTTTTTAACAAATTTATCTAAATAAAATTTTATTTTAATTATAATTTATTTATTTATTTATTTATTTATTTACATAATCAATTATTAAAATAATTTTATTTTCACTACCTGTTAATTTTTTTAATTTGATGCATAATATTATCTCACAATGAAAGCTCTGTTTTGGTGTAAATCTCGTATTCAAAGCTAAAGTCAAGTCCATATGTGCACGTTTCTTTTGGCATGTGATCTAAGATTTATCTAACATTATCACTTTCATCATATTCAAATCGAGTACAGTGTTTACAGCACATTGTTCGATATATCTATTCCGGAGCTACTTATGTTAATTTTATTGCGATAAATAAATAAATAAATAAAGCATTTTGATGTAGTTACATGATTATTTATAAAAAAAAATTAGAAGTAATTTTGAGTACACATTTTTTTTAAGAATTTTTCTCTATAATTACTCTTCAAATTACTGTTTTTTTCTATTATTTTTTTAGTTTCAATTTTTTAAAATTTAATTATATTTTTAATCTTTTGATATTATAATTGTGTTATTTTAGTCGCTAAATTTTTAATTGGGTAATTTTGTTCTTTAAGTATAACAATTGTGTGATTTCGGTCCCTAATTTTAATTAAACAATTTTAATTTATTAAGTATCGCAATTGTACAATTTTAATCACTCAATTATTGTAATTATATATTTTTTTACATATTTAAGTTACATATATTATTATTTTTATTCATATATTAATATATTACTTGTTACCTAATTGATTTACAAATTTATCGTCACTTTTAATTTACAGAGTATGATTCACAATTTTAGAATTTAAAAAGAATTTAATTTATCTTAAATATAAATATTTTGTTATTTTAAAGTGTTAAATAATAAATATATTTAATTATTTTATAACTATATATTATAAACAAAAATTTAATACATTTATAATATTTATAATTTTATAAATAATATTTTGAATATTCTTTATGGATTAATAAAAAACTATTAGAATTGGGAATAACAAAATATCTTGTGTCTCACCCCATTCCATCCTTTTCCTTCCCGTCTAGTTTAATAATTAATAAAAAGAAATTATATCTCTTAATAAATATAACAATTTATTGCTATTTACTAATATCTTATTTTACTTAAAATATTTATAAAATATTAAGATTTTGTTTTTGACAACATGAAAGTTATTATGTAGAATTCAAAAAATGTAATTTATTTTAAATTTAAATATATGATTATTTTAAATGTGAAATGATAAATATATTTAACAATTTTAGAAATATATATTGTAAATAAAATGTTATTGTATCTATATTATAAATAATATTGATTTTTTTTATAAATTAACAAAAAGTTATTAGTAACATATATCACAAATACTTTGTATTAAATATGTTCATACAACAAATAAATAAGGATTAAAATTATTCATATATGAAAAGAAAATTATTATGAAAAAAGGTGATGGTATAGATGTATACCTTTTTAAATAAGACGTGGACTCTACGTCAATGCTCTTGTTTTCTAATGAACGGATCACTTGCAAAATTGATAAAGAAAAACATTGTCCAAAAATTAATGTGTTTGTTTATATATAATTTTCTACCACGTCCTGATATTTAAGGAGCAAAGACTTGTTCTCTTCGTCAGATATCAATCTAGGATTCGCCATGGATGTTGAAGAAAGAACGAGCAAGGACAATTCTCTTTCCCTGAACCTCGAACAAGGTCAAGAAAAGGGTACCAAAAACGACGATTATGGTCTCGCTTCTGCTCATACTATTGACCACGGTAATACACACTAATTCAGCAAAGTTTACCAAATCTTTTTCTAAAAAACAGAAGAAGAAGAAAAAAACAATCCGTTTTCCTTTTTCATTGATTAAATCGAACTAGGTAGAGAGTTTACAATTAAATATCTTAGGCACTCCACTTAGAGTTAGTTAGTTAGTTAGCTACTGTATTTTGTTTATTTATTTATTTTATTTATAATTTTTGGGGTCTGTTTAAGTTCATAAAACTGTTAGTGTTTAGTGTCTACATATGATTCATCTACTACTCTTGCGAGGGAAGTGTTGAATTAGCAGGTTTCCTTGAGAATTGAGATGAAATTGATTACAATTTGCAGATTCATGGCAACAAGTGGGGTTGATGCTTGTGACAAGCTTCAATTGCGGGTGGATATTAAGTTTTTCTAATCTCATCATGTGGCCACTCGGTTGGACTTGGGGTATCATATGCCTCCTTCTTGTGGGGCTCTACACTGCTTATGCTAACTGGCTCTTGGCAGCATTTCAGTTCATTGGTGACCGAAGATTCATTAGATACAGAGATCTTATGGGATTTACCTACGGTGAACTTTTCATTCATTGCATCATATCACTACACTACTTGACTTTGCAGTGACACATGCAATTTTATAATTTCTTATCCAAACTTTCCTAATTTCCCAAGGCAAGAGTATGTACCACCTCACATGGGCTTTCCAGTTTTTTACCCTTCTTCTTGGAAATATGGGTTTCATCCTCCTGGGAGGCAAGGCACTTAAGGTAAACTTTATTATAATCATGTACTAAAACATTTTATGAGCAAGTAACAATAGGTAGAAAGGTTGTTCATTTACTTGTGCAGGCAATAAACTCAGAATTCAGCGATTCTCCCTTGAGGCTGCAATACTACATAATGATGACAGGAGCTGCTTACTTCTTCTATTCATTTTTCATCCCAACAATGTCTGCCATGAAAAATTGGTTGGCACCTTCTGCAGTGGTCACTCTCACATATATTATATTTCTTCTCATTGTTTTAGTCAAAGATGGTAATTAAGCATTCTTCTTTTCGCTTTCAAAAAATATATATATAAATATTCCTCTCCTTCCATAACATATTAACTAGTTAGTGTTAATTGTGGTCTGAAGGGAGATCAAATTCGAATAGGGATTTCAATATTAGCGGAAGTGAAGCGAGCAAAGTCTTCAATGCTTTTGGTGCCATTTCCGCCATCATCGTTAGCAACACCAGTGGATTGCTCCCCGAGCTACAGGTCAACTTCTATCTATTTTTTTTAAGACAAATTAACTGACCCGATCTTTTATTTATTGATATTTGAACCCAAAAATCATATACTATGTCACAATTGGGGCCGGCACACAGGGCTCTAGAGTTCTCAGTCAATAATATCTTATTTTAGTGTCATAACAATTATTTTATTTCTAATTCAGATTTGATTCGTTGTTCATTACTCTATAGTATTAGTTTTCCAATTATTAGTGTTGACTTCCATCAATATTTATTATTTTGGGACAACACAATGTTTGTTTGGTTTCCAAAAAAAAAATCATTAACAAAAGTTATTAGTACAAGTTTATCAACAGCATTATACTATCTCAAGAAAAAATTGTATATATATAAATTTATTTATTAGATACAAGTTTATAAGTGTTTTTAAGAATTTTTTATTAAAAAATATTTTTTTATTTTCAGTAAAAAGAAAACTCTTAAAATTAATCCAAATAGGGTAATATTATAAATATTTTGATTATGAGTGAAGTTGTGTTTTGTATTCTGAATGTAGTCCACTCTACGTAAGCCAGCAGTGAAGAACATGAGGAAGGCCCTGTATTTACAATATACGATGGGAGCAGTGTTATATTATGGTGTCACCGTTATGGGATATTGGGCTTATGGATCAGCTGTATCGGCCTACCTTCCTGAAAACTTAAGTGGTCCCAAATGGATTAATGTCCTCATTAATCTCATCGTCTTCTTACAATCCATAGTCTCACAACATGTAAGATAAGATAAGATATTACATTCGATTCAGTAAAAGAATATGCACTTTTTATATTAGATGGTTAATTGAATTGAATTTGAGTATGATAACAAATTGAAAGGTGTGTTTTTTGTTCTTTTAAAAAATGCAGATGTTTTTAGCACCAATTCTGGAGGCCTTGGACACTAAATTCCTAGAAATAGATAAGCTCATGCATTCAGGGCAGAACTTGAAACGCTTATTTCTCATACGCGCGTGTTTCTTCACAGGGAACACATTTGTTGCTGCAGCATTTCCTTTTATGGGTGACTTTGTAAACTTTCTTGGCTCATTTTCACTCGTTCCTCTCACCTTCATGTTCCCAAGCATGGTCTTCATCAAGGTTATTTTATAATCGAAGCTTTAATTAACCAATTGATTAACTCAATTAAAGTTAGACAGTCAGAGTTGAACATGTATATATATATATATATATATATATATATCATTTAATCTTATTTGTCTTTGGCTAAATTTTAGGTGAAGGGAAAGACAGCTAGAATAGAGAAGAAGGCATGGCATTGGTTCAACATCGTTTTTTCTTTTCTGCTCACAATAGCAACCACAATTTCAGCAGTGCGGTTGATAGTCCACAACATCCAAAAGTATCATTTCTTTGCAGATGCATGATTGCCAATCTCATGCACCTGTTTGTTTGACTTAATTCAGCAAGAATTATACTTAAATAGTTAAAGTTAAATAAAAAAACGGAATAAATAAAATTATTATATCTTTTTCCATCCAATTATTCTCCGGTTTTCTCACCTCTTAGAAGTGCTATATTTATGATTTGAGCGACCGAGAAAATGGGTTAGTGACTTTGAATCTATAATTCCTATTGTGTAGTTGTTCAATTATGAAGAGTAACTACTCAAATACACGCAATACATACACCTAAGTATAAAGTTAACTATTAAAATTAAAATTTCATGCACATAGTCAGAGAATTTATTCATGCTATTGTGGTTCTATATATACAAGTTAAGGACGAAAAAAAAAACAGATGACAAAAGAATGAAATATATAGTTGCTTATTAGTTAGATTAATTAGCATATAACCCCTGGAACACCCTAAGAAAACAACAAATATATTAATTTAACATTAAGTTATATTAGTTTTACTAACATTAATTATTATAATAACTCTACAATTCATTTTTTCCCCTACTCCATCACTAGTTACTTCAAATAATTTTTTACCTTAGTTGTACAAATAATTGTAGAAACGAGTAATAGGAATAGAAATGTTGTTACCTTACAGGATTTGGACATATATATATCTGGCTATTGCATGCAATTAGAATTTCTTAGGTGGTCCTTGCATTAGAATACGTAGTAGTTGTTGATAATCCTCGAAGGCCATAACCATAACCCATGTAGGGTTTGTTACCGCGACCGAAAGGAGTGAGATTAGCCTGCATCAACAGAAAATTGCCCCCAAAGAGATCATTGACATGAGTGTGTCCATTCTTCAATTTCTTGAAGGCCATGCGCCAGGAGACCCTGAATCTAGAGAGAATCTTGGTTCTTTTCCTAAGGAATCTCCTCAGTGCAGCAACACGAAGCCTTGGCCTTCTTCTACCAGCTAGAGCCCTAAGCTTAAGCCACGCCCTTGCTTTTTTAACTTGTCTTTCTAGTATTTCTTCTTCATTTCTGAGTCTCTGGTAAGAAAGCTTGCTCACTGAAGCCATTACGGAAGCACTAGGCCAAATAATTTGTGAGGTAGCTGTGATGGATGGGGAACGCCTTTATTAATTGATCCTGAAATTTGTGTGGTGCTGCGGAAAATAGTTGCATGTGAAAACTAGTTCGGTGCAATTAATTGTACTAATGGTGCTGGAATTTATCGGTAAAGCCCGTTTAATGATCCCCCCCACCCCCCCCCCCCCCCACCCCTCGTCTTTTTAATTTTCCTTTATTTTTTACGCAATCATATATACTCTAGCCAGTAAAAGAAAATAAAATAAGTCAGCAGTTAATATCAATAAAATGAACTATATTAACTTCTTCTTTTTTTTTTAGGTTAAAACCTAATTTGATCCTTTATAATATTTTAAAGTTTCAATTTAGTCTCACTTTAATTTTTTTGTTCAATTTAGTCTCACTTAACAAAAATACTATCAATGTTTGTCTTCCGTCTAAATTTTACAAACGCCGTTAAAGAGCCGTGAGAATCACGCCCATGATTCCCACGGTATGAATCACATAAAAAAATCTGTTGAGTAAAAATTGTGAGAATCACGCCCGTGATTCTGAATCACATGAATACTCCTAAACGGCGTTTGAAAAATTTAGATGGAAGGCAAATATTGCTAGCATTTTTAATAGGTGAGACTAAATTGAACCCAAAAATTAAAGTAGGACTAAATTGAAACTTTAAAATATTATAAGGGACCAAATTAAAGTTTTAACCTTTTTTAGCACTCTATATATATATATATATATATAAAGAAAAAAATACTTAAATTTATTTTAGACTATAATATAATTAAATTTTAATTAAGTCAATTTTATTTAATGTTCTTAATCTAAACATACTCTTAAGACAATAAGTAAAATACTATTTATAATAGATGTGATTAAGGATATTTTATGAAGTGTGGTATATATTTTATGTGAAATTGTGAAAATTAAATATATTTAATTAATTTTTTAATACGTGTAAAGTTATTTTTTTTCTTAGATATAGATCTAAAGAGAGTATTTTTTTTTCTCTTTATCTTAAGAGATATATCGATGAAAAAATGAATTTAATAAAGAAGTATAAATATTTTTTTAAAGAAAATTTAACACAAAATAAATGTATTTCCTTTATATATTATTACCTTTATTTTTATTTATTATAAGACCTAACTTAAAATAATTTTTTGTTATTTATATAAAGGTCAATTCATATTATTTCATGATTAATTTTATACTAAAATTATCGTAATTAAAGTATATTCTCTTTTATAAATGTATTAATTATAATTTTTTTACATAATGTTTAATTGGAAGAAAATGGAGAGAAAGGGAGGGAATTGTTGAAAAAAAAATTGTTGTTTAGTTCAATTTTTAGGAAGAAAGACAACAAATGAGTACTTTAATATATATATATATATATATATATATATATATATATATATAACAAATATTTAATTCAACAAGATCAATGAAATTAGTTAATTATAATTAATAAATCATAATTTGAAATTTTATTCAGTATTAAATAATTTGCAGTAGGACACATGGATGTCATAATCAATATGCAATAGGTCACTTGGGAGACAAGCTTTATACCACATCGCAACAGTAATTTGTATCACTCATGATAGGGACATAAAGCTTTGAAGTAGTTCAAGACTATTTGTAACTTCTTTCTTATTTATCAACATTTATGTATTTGGGTTTGACACTCCTAGTGTCTCCTTAATGCATTTCTTTTGGCTGATCAAACAGAAGAAAAAAATAGTGTTGGTAGTACTCCTCTAAATTTATATATAAGCAAAAAATGCTTAAATTTTTTTAACTGAAATATAAACAAATTTCAACTGAGTCAACTTTACTTAATGTTATCAATTAAAAAATACCTCTAAAATAATAAATAAGAACACTATCTATAATAAATTTGATTAATGATATTTTAGTAAATGTAGTGTATATCTTATATGAAATCATGAAAATTAAATGCATTTAACTATCTTTTCTAATATGTGTGAAATCAACTTTTTTTTTTACTTATATATAAGTCTAGAGAGAGGAATATAGTTATATTTAATGATACTACTCAAAAGTTAATGAATAATTTTTCCAATAATGAGAATGATTTATAATGTTAGATACGCAATAAATACATTCATTATTATGAAAAATGAGTAAAACGCTTATTAATAAATTCATAATAAATGAAGGATATGAAAGAAAATTATTAATCTATATATTTAAAATTAAATTCATGTTTCTTATAAATCTTAAATATGTTTTTAATCTTTCAAATTTAAAGTAAACTTATTTTTGATTCCTCAAACTTATAATTACTTTTT